CTGGTGACCTACTGAAAGCATGTATTTTATTCCAGAACTAGTTTTAGCAATAGGAGGCAGCTTTGGTTATTGCAGGTGGAAGGAAGTGTTTCAGGACTTCTTTGAGAAGGGTAAAAAATGAGTGCTGACAGCCTCGTCCCGTGTCTGATGGAGTCAAAGCCAGAAGTTCAGTCACTTATTTAAGGACCTGACTTCAGAGCTGCACTGATAACTGTGAGGGCTCATCACCTTCCAAAAGAGCAGTTCGCCTGCATTGCTTTGCCTAGATGCAGACTCGACTTCTGAATCTCAAAGCAGTCCCAGCGAGATGAGATCAGGTCCCCCCAAAACATCTTCCAAGATCTCTATTCCTGTTATTAGCAAGTGTGGGAGAAGGGGGGATCGCACTCCAGAGGCCTTTGGAAGAGAAACACCAAATGGAGGATGGTCTCCCTGAACCTCACAGCCCATCACCACTACCCAGGAGAAGGGGCTACAGGTGGGAAAGCAGAAGAAAACAGAAGTCAGAAGGAAACTAAAATGAGCGCAAGGGGTACCCAAGTGCCAAAAGCTCTTGCTCCTGCTCTTCTATCTGATAACTTCCTACTAAGGTGGCAATCCGGCTTTAGAAAGGGTGAACGGATACAGGGAGGAAGTCCGTAGGTGCTAAATTCGCACAGAGGTTCCTAAATACCTTTAGTGATCATGGCCTAAGCGACCTGCAGCCACTCAGGCAGGATATATCAGCAGAGGACTTTGCCCAGAGGCACCCTAATCTCCAAGATCTTCCACTCTCCATTGGCACTAAATGCAAATCCCAGCCCTTAGGCACAGGGGTAAGGGGAATCCCACCTTTCCAACATTTCTAATCCCCAGTGGAAGAGGTACTGGCAACACATCATATGCTACAGGTCATCTAAAAATATCCATGGCTCCCTTTATATGACAATTGTTGCAAGTTTAAAGGCACAGCACAAGCAGAGGGACAGAGGGACACAGCAAGACTTTCTTCTTGTTATTTCTATACCAGAAATGGCTACAAAGCAAGAGAGTAATTTAATCTGAGCACTGGATCCAGAACTGCTCCTTTGATTCTGCCTACAAGTAATGACACTAGTGACAACAGTGCTTTCCATTAGGCAAACTGGCTCTGTATCAGAATTCATCTGAACACGCTCCTCGTTTCCCCAGAGGCCATGAACACAGATATTGCATGGGGAATTTAACTACTAGGGCTGTGCCCGGATCATGGCAACAGATCAAAGAGCAAGTCTAGATTTTCTGTCTCAGAGGGTGCAGTCAGGAACATGAATCCAGAGCTGGAGACAATGCTATTGTAGGCCTTGGATGGGCCCATATCTGCTCGTGGGCCGCACCTGAGCCAGGCACCTGGAGCCAGAAAGCTCCCAAATCTTTTTGGACAATTGTGTGTGAAGAGACTCCCTTCTCTGATTTTCCAGATCTCTTAATACCTTCTCTTGTTGACAGCTGCTCTGCAGGCACATGTGAGAAGGATAACAGCATCACTCTGATCTCCATGAAGAACATCAACATGAACAACAGCATAAGTTACCCACCATCAGAAAAGGTTTCCCTTTTAAATCTTGCTTTTTACAGACTTAGCTGGGGACTGTTTCTCTTGCTTACCTTTGAGGATCCTTTGCTCCCTTATTCCTTCAGAAAAGTATTCAAAAACAGTCACCAAAATTCTAGAGACTCAAACTGGTTCCAGTGAGCCTGGTTAAAGTTTGATGGCCTATCAAGCTTATCCAAGCTGCCTGAACTCTGAAGGGGTGAAGTATACCTCATGCATACAAGTGCCATCATCCAGGGCTAGCCAGAGCTAGAGCTATTAGTTGCCATTAAATTAATAGGTAAATAAGCTAGATTCAATGTCTCCTTTTCTAGTCCAAGCTTCCTGTGTTCTTGCTCTGTAGAGCTGCTGGTGATGTTGCAGTACACTCCTGTCAGTACTCTCAGATCCATTCCAAAAAAGTAATTCGCATCACTTTAAGTTGTATTAAAGGTAAACTAATAATCTGATTCGGTTTGAGGGAACACTTTGTTTAAGTTCTTTTGCCAGCCCAAACAAGCTACCGATGCATCATGTTTTGTTCCTTTTGCAGGTGCTATGAAGACAACGACCCAGAGCTAGAAGCTGACATTTGACAGCCAGCAGTGACTTTCTAGGTTCTTGTTTTCCTTCGGGGAAAGAGCAGTGGTGGGCTTTTTTTTTTTTTTTTTTTTAAATATATAAGTTATTCTGCCCTTTCTGATCAATACATTTACTGTATCATCCCACATAGCTTACCCATCTGGGGTCTAAGGGATTGCTCTAGCTACAGCCTGCCACGCTCAATGGTTGATATCTAACTGTATTTTTGATATGCATTCAAACTCTCAGATTATCCCAGCAGAAAGGAGCACCCAGGAACCATCTACTTAGCTGACAAACTGCTGCCCTTGATTAACGGCCATTATAGTCTGTGCCAGACAGTCACAGTCTTGCCATATAGCCATTCAGTATAGCTCCTGACTGAGCTAAACCCATGCATTAAAAAGCATGATCTGAAGCTGAAGGCCTAACGGGATTTATATGCCCAAGTACTGGGTCAAATCAAAGCTCAGTTGCTCAGAGTCTTTTATCCTCGGTGCCCCCACAGAGGTGGGGATAATCATATTCACCTACCTCACAGGGGTGTTGTGAGGCTACGTTAATCAATGTCTGTAGAGCATTTGGAGAGTCATGAATTAAAGGTGCTGCTGAAATGCAAACTGCCCTCTTAAGTGCTTTGTTATGAACAACTGAACTTCAGCCAGACAGATAAACTCTCCACAGGTCCAGCATGTTCACAATAAGGAAGACTCACTGTTTTAAGTAAAAAGAACAAAGTCTCTGCCTAGATAGGGCTTGGATTGACTGCAAATGGGAGTGGTCGCAAGCAAAGCCAATATTGAGCTACTTCTGTTCTACTGCAACAGCATCTCAGAAAAGACAGCCACCTGGAATAGCACAAGCTCACATGACCACTAGATCTTACCTTTTTTTCTTTTTTTTTTTTTTAAATAACCTATCATATTCAGTCTTCAAGGTGTCATTAACTCTGATGCTCTTACTGCCCTGACTTTCATTCTATCCTAGATGCATAATGATATCTTCAGCAGCAGCTAGGCAACCCCCTCTGGGATAACAGCTGGAGCTCACAAGCCACTTTCCTAAGGGCTGGTAGTCTGAGTTTGTTGGGAGAGCTTCAGGCATTTGTTCTACTGCTTTCCCATAGCTTTCTGATGCACCAAAAAAGCAGATCACCTTGTTCAGACCGAGCAGTCTGCCTTACTGGAGTACCAAGAACTATGAATGCGTCTCCTAGTCACCACTATAACAAAGACACAGTCCCCTGTTAGGCTGTGCCGGGCAACAGTTCACACCTAGACCCAGCTGGTTCAAAACCCAAGCTGGTTGAGCCCCAGCTGCCAGCTACTTAAGTCACTGACAGCAAATACACTCTCATAAGCTGAGCTATGAAGGAGCTGAGGAGGATGGAGACATCAATACCCAGTTCCCATGTGACTGGAATAGAAACCTGAACACTAGCTCTATTGGATACTTTTGGAGGTCTCAGCTGCCTTATTCAGCAGCATAATATACCGAAGCCCTAACTCCACAACTATCTTCCTCCCTGCCTATCTTCACCATAATCCCTGCTTGCAAACTTCACCAGCTCCAGAGTCAAGACAGACTTTCAAAGCACCTCACTTATGAGGCACACCACAATGAGATACTGACTTCTAAGATGAGCATCAAAATCTATCAACCCTGAAGATAAAACTGTGAAGTCAAGGAAAAACAGACCTTATTGACCCAAGCACTCAAAATATGCACTCAAAATATTGCACACATTCCTCTGCACAGTTCAATCAAATACAGTAATTTCTTGATTTAATTTTATAGGATGGATAAGAGATGTTTGCTGGAATGTGCAGTGCTAAAGCTAGCTGTGTTTTGCAGCAGGCAATGAAGAGTATGGGATAATAAATGCAACTTTTTCACAAGTCTTGCTAAGATCCTAAATAGGCTTTCTATCTTTAACATATACACCAGGTAAGCCTCATTTTTTAAACAGCCTATTAAACTTTCTGCTGAAATTCCTAAAAAGTAAGACATGATACCTCTCCGCAATCCCTCCCTCCATGCCCAACACACCAGACTGGTGAGCTCACATAAGCACAGGTTTCCACAAGCTTCCCAGCTAGCTGTGTCCAAATAGCTCCAAGTCTCACAAACCTGTGACTCAGTGAGGAGTCCCTCTAGCAGGTTTTTATGATGCACCGCTGAGACTTAAAACAGCTTGTGAGCACTTGCAATGCCAACAATATCAGTGAGTGCCAAGCTTTAACCAGCCTCCCTCCTCCAGACAAGCCATACTGACCTCTAAAAGACTGTCCCCAGGATCTCGTCGCTGCTGTAACTTTTCTTCTCTGAACTCATTGAGCAAAGTCTACAATGAGGGCATTAACTCTCTCCTCCAGCTCTGAGCCCCCCTATTATGACTCCTTTCTACTCAGCTGAAATTAGTCTTACTAGTGCCTTAAATAACCTCTAGATAGGGCTCAGGGCCTTTATTCCATTCTCACCTTTCTAGACTGTTGTTCAGCATCGTCTGCTCTTCTTGACATCTTCCCTTTCCCGTGCTTTTCAGCCCCCTGGCTTACCCTGTCCTTCTTCCCATATCCTTTTTAGGATCTTGACAAAGCTTGACCCTGTTCCACTCCAAAACTGATCCACGTTCACAAGCAAACAAAAACTCTGACTCTGACCTTGTTCAGAAGGAAGACTGAATTATAATAAACAGTGGAAATGATGCGACTGCCAGCTTCCAATTGCAAGTGCTCACATAAATGAGAGATAGATCTCAACCCTGCTGTGTACGTGCACGTGCCAAGCACTGTTCCTACACATCATGCGGGTGGAAGACTTTCTTCTAACTCCCTCACACTATCAGCTGCCATGGCACGCCATGATGCCTCTCCCACAGCTCGTTAGCCCAATTTTAATTGGCATGTGCGATCAAGGAAAACAAGCCCCAGCGTTACTAATAGATGAATACAGTGATACGAGCCCAGCTGTAAGGAACGGAGATACGAGCCAACTGAGGGAGTGCCAGCCACAAGGTCTGGGCTACGAGGTTCGGTCAACAGATGCAGAGCACTCTTTTCTTCAGGTTTCTACCAGTTTAACAGCACTGGTTGGAGACCAGAGCCCCCTGCGACTCTGCCAACACAGCACTGCTGGCAGAAGGAAGCCTGCAGCGTTGATACAGCGTTATCACTCACTGAACCTATTGTTCTGTCGCCGTTTATAGGTTTGACCTCATAGTGGTTTGGCCTGTAACATGCTGACATAGAGGGACAACCAGCTGACTGAGACCTGGCCCACACAAAACACCCACAGCTTCCAGAGTAGCACAAGGCCTTCATGATTTTTCCTGAAAACAAGACAAAATGTACAAGGCAAATTAGCATGTTCTCACTAGCGTTTAATATTCTTTCCAGCATTTAATGTCCTTTGTTCACTTAGCCATAGAAAGCCTTTCAGGCACAAAACAACAACAAAGAAAAGGCTGTTTCGTTTTATCGCTGCCTCCCATGAACCACCCATCACTTGAATATGCAGCTAAGAACCAGCTTTCGCAAGCGTGCAACGAGGCCTGAAGGTCTGCAAGAAGAAACGGATCCTGCGTGACTCTGGCAAAAGTAGCGGTCAGATGCGACCAGCCTACAAGAGCTGAAGGGGCTGCCAGAATATTACCGACCCTGCCACCTCCCCCAGTACTCAGGGGGCCTCTAAGCTTTGTCAAATACAGCCACCAGCCTCGTCATTCAAACCCAGCAGGGCGACAGCTGAAATTTGCCCTCTGCATCCCCTTTCCGGGTCATCAAAAACGCAAGTTGGTTGTTGCACGCAGCACAGACTTACCAGGCAAAAAGGCGCAGGAGCTTTAAGTGCCAGAGCTGGTGGAGTCGCTGCTGGGTCTCACGATGCAGCAGCACCGGCCTGCATCGCTCCCCTCCACGCTACAGCTGTGTCCGCTTCGCCGCGGCACCCGCGATAGGGGCATATGAGCAATCCATCTGCCTTAGTCTCAACTCCGTACTCTATTCCCCTTCGTAAAGATCATCCTACTTGGACTTTTGCTCTCAGCAGCAAGAGACCACAAAAACAGTGACCTGGTGAACGGCCAGGAGGTCGGTGCTGCTGCTCGGCTGCCGCGGACCATCCCGCCCCTGCTGAGGCCGAGGCACCAGGGAAGC